TTCAACAATTTATGGCGAACCTGAACAGCGAAAGTTGCCATTCTCTGATCGGTTTTCTCACGCCGGAATATATTGGATTTCTTAAGTTACAAGTTATTCCCCGATTTACGGGTACGGGTACGTGTATATCACCCGTACCCGTAAACCGGAATCGGGGTATCTTAACCTCTCTAATGACATATAGGAAGTGCACGGGAAAGTTCTGGTGCAAGAGCGAGGTGAATGTCGAAAGTTCGACAAGAAATGGAATGATATACTGTTCTTGAGAGGTTCAGATTTTGACTTTCACTACCGCTACTATTACCATTAACCAAACAGATGCATTTATTATAGCCGATTAACCAATCAAATGCGTATTAAGGCTGTCAGTGGTAGTTGTATATGGTTAAATCTATACCTCTCTAAGGTAAGTTAATTCATATGGTTAATTATAGACACAGCAATATCACACAGTGGATAGTGCTTGGGGAAGCCTTAGGGATGATCCTTACTGGACCTCTAGGAAGAACAGTTTAAAACTGGTAGAGCTATCCAGTATAAATAAAGTTAGTTTAGTTTAGGTTTCCTCCTGTAGTAACAATGGATCAATAAGAGATGATCTTTGCTGGACCTCTAGGAAGAACAGTTTAGAACTGATAGAGCTATCCGGTATAAATAAAGTTAGTTTAGCTTAGGTTTCCTCCTGTAGTAACACTGGATAAATAAGAGATGATCTTTACTGGATCTCTAGGAAGAACAGTTTAAAACTGGTAGAGCTATCCAGTATAAATAAAGTTAGTTTAGTTTAGGTTTCCTCCTGTAGTAACAATGGATCAATAAGAGATGATCTTTACTGGATCTCTAGGAAGAACAGTTTAAAACTGGTAGAGTTATCTAGTATAAAAAAAGTTAGTTTAATTCAGATAAATAAAGCGTGTTATTAAGCCCCAGAGCAATCCTGTTTTTCTATTTGAGGTAGCCACTAATTATGAACAATAAGCCTGCAAAAAACTTAGAAATACTTACCTGATTATTTTGTGATGCCTCTGGCTCTGGTGCCGTTTCATTTTGCATATCAGCTATATACAGGCAAACAGATTTATTTTGGGAGGTTTGAGAGGTTAAACTAACTTTATTTATACACTGGATAGTTCCATCGGTTCTAAAGTCCAGCTAGGGTTGTCTCTTATTGCTCTATGCTTATTTCGCAGGAGTAAACCTATAAACTGACCTAAATAATACTACATAGCTTTATGCATTCCAAACTTTTCTCCCTAGAGGTTGAGTATTTGTCATCCATCTATATTTGTTCAGCGTTGCTACAGAAGGAAACCCAAACTAAACTAACTTTATTTAAACTGGATAGCTGTATAAAAGTTCTAAAATATTCTTCCTGGAGATCTAATAAGGATCATCCTTTTTTCATTCAGTGTCGTTGCTACAGAAAACTGGTGTACCTGGAGATAAAACTGGAGGCATTCTTCTCACATGTAACTGAAGGGAAATTATCAAACAACAGCATATTACAGAAATCATACGCTACTGTGCCATCAATTTCTGGTCATGATCTTCATTCAAAACTTTAAAACGTTTTTAATATTTTTTTAAAATAATTCAAACACAAACCACAACAACTTATTGTACAATACTTCCCACTGTACATATTTTTAAGGTAATTCAGAATCACAGCATCGATCACTCTATGATTACTTACCAGTTTGTGGAACAAACTCGCCAGATTTCTTCTTAACAGGAAACAACATGTGCTGTGTATCATCATGATTTCCACTAACATTGGAATACTCTGGGTTACCCAGATTATCGTTAATCGCATCATAAGCCGGATCCTGTGAATCCTCTACATTCTGAAGTTCAACACGTACTGTTTTGTTTCGCTGCTTCATTTTACCGAAGCACAGTGCTCGTCTGCGGTACAGGAGAAATATTACGACCAATAGTACAATCACAATCATTAGAATTACACAGACAATGATGATGATTAGTGGAAGATTGTTTGAGCCAGATGAACTTTCTGCTGGTGATTTGATATTGGTACCAGTACTTAGAGTGGTGCAATCTAAAGAATGTAAAATGTCCACCATTATTACCATTGCCAAAGTAATATTAATTACCATTGTCATCACCACCACCACCGTTACCAATACATATGACTATACTTACGTTCACATCCAGGTATTGGAGTAGTTTGTAAACTTTCTGTGGAAAGTTGAGTCGCTGTACAAACAGCTTCAGTATCTCCAGAACAATCCCTCATTGTTTCATCAGTACTGACAGGAACTAGCAATGTCAAAAAACAAAAAACATTTATTTTACATTCAAACTGAAAAACTAAAGGTTTCTCCATGAATAAAATAATTTGTCATATATTAATTCTACACTCTATTACATTTACATTTAAAATAGTCTCGATCTATTTTTTTATCTTGTGTTGTGTGCTGTATGTATAAATCATGAATTGTCTGTGTCAGTGTCGGTAGTGCCAATGATTAATATTAACAAGCTTTCGTTGGTTGGGATGCAACTACCTGAAAAATACAAGGAGAATTTCGACGTTTCGAGCGAAGGCTCTAGTATGTAACTCCACACGAAAGGCCTTTGCTCGAAACGTCGAAATTCTCCTTATATTTTTTAGGTAAAATATAGTTGCATCCCTACTAACGAAAGCTTGTTCATATATGTAAATCAGTCTTTACTGACCGTAGAGATACAGTATATTGACACTAATTACATTGGTCTCCTTGATGCATGCTTACAACAATTACGACTAAATAGAAACCAGGGTTAATGGGCCATTCCATTTATTAACCGCACCCCCCCTATTGAGGGTTTACAAAAAATACCCCCTGGATATTGCTTTAGTAATAGGGTATGTGGATTTCTCATTTTAACATTTCCCGTGGATTTTCTAAACCTTTGTTAACCTATTGAGGGTTAAACATAATTTCTCCCCCTGGATTTCTGGATTTTGTTAAATTTGTTCAATGGATATTTTGCATATGTTCTTTGAAATAGAATTAATACACAAATAAATTCACCGATAAATTTACTGCCATGAATAAATAAATTTACTACCATGGATTTATTTTGTTTAAATTATTTCCATTTGGATTTTTATTTGGATTTTTTTATATTTACCCATGGATATATCTTGAAAAATTTCTTTCTCCTAATGGATTTTTGTTCTTTGGACCCCCTGGATATCCACAACCCTCAATAGGGGGGGTGCGCATATTAAATGGAATGGCCCAATGCAGAATACTCTCTCTGACAAGTAATATCATCTGGCAGTTGGAACTCTTATTGCCACTCACTGGGTAAAAAATGTCGATAGAATTATAAACACAAATAATAAAAATACCTGAATTAAAACTGATCTCAGAGATTAGCAACCACTGTCCACCAAAATATAACCGCAACTTCATAAACCTTGCTGTATTTCCACAAAGTGACAAAGTTACATTTGCATTGTATGGATTATCTTTGGCTTGAAGGTCTCTTGGACAGTACTGAAGAAATGATGTGTCGGAGAAACTAGTTTTGGTTGAAGAGAAGAATATCTGTGATCGATTAAATACAGCATTATCACGTTTCTTGTCAACATTCATAGTTAGTATAACATTTGTGAACTTTCTCATACCAGAAAACTCAAATAAAATGTCGATATATTGTGATTGAGTAAGAAAGGAAAACCATCCCACCCATCCTTTGCCTTTAAATTCTTTCGAGTTAGCAGGACCAAACTTGCCATCTGTAAGTATTCCAGTGCCATCTTTGTAAAAGCCATTGGTAATTACTCCATTATAAGATATGTCTTTGTAGTGCACTTTGCCATTCTTGGTTGTTTGCCCAACTGGCATTGAGTAGGAGAGAATAACTAGAATAGTAAAAGAGTACAATGTATAATTTACAGCATCTACACAGCGGCGCACATTAGGGGGGGTGTGGGGGGGTGTGACACCCCCCCAGCTTTTCAAAATTGGTCAAAGTCGGTCCCGAAAAATGCATATTAGAAAACCAATTCGGTCCCACGTTCGGTCCCCGAACATCCGATATACTAGATATAGATATATTTTAATAATTAAGATAAATTAAAGTTTTTCATCGGTTTTTTTATCATATTTTCTTAACTTAAATATAACAGCATTGGTAAATAAAATAGCGAGTTTCAAAGGAAAACAGCGTATTTTTTATTTTTGAAATTTGACCGGCATTTTCCGAGTGCAAAGTGCTTGAGACAGACTTGACATTATCTTTTAACAATGTCTCATATGTCTGACCCGGCGCTGGCACAAAACACGCAGTCGTTAAATCAAGAAAATACTGGATAGTTGGCACTAAGTTCTAGGAAGGCTAGTAAAGACTGAGAAAGAGTCAGCGGTTCTAAAATTCATTCTAGGTATGTTCTGTATGTATATTTTATGCTTAATTGACCATATTTTAATATTGGGATAGGTAATAGGATCTCTACATGCGTCTCGGACCTCTCGTTTGTGCATGGCGTACTTAGGCCCCCCTTCACACGAGCCTGGGATGATTTTCAACCCAGGTCAGCACGCCACAGGTGGTTATTTTTTATTCGGTTTACATGAACCTGGTTGCCGAAAATTGTTGCCAACCCAGGTCAGCAATTTTCAACCCGGGGTGGCTCGGGTAATTTTCCGAACAACAGACTGGAACAGAGTGTATTTTTGGCGGGTAAAATCCCTTATATGATTGTCCCTTGTGATTTTAATTGTGTTGTGTAATTTTTCTGTACCTCTAGTTAGTTAATGGTTTTCTTACATCCATATGCCGTGAGATATTGCATACAAATATGTGAACTCACCCACATTGAGCGGGTGATACCCGCATTTTGGAATCATCACCTGCGTAAAAAATGGCACACATACTTCACCCGCATTCATTGAAATTCACGCGCATAATCAGATGATAATTCTCCGTAGGAAATTTCGTAGGAGCGGAGGCTATGCTGAACTAGCCTTGCGCTTATTTTGTTTATTTTCGACCGAACGGTTGTGATTTTACGAAACTTTGCGAAACTTTTATTTTAATTATTCCCTTTTTTACGAAACTTTGCGAACTGTTATGAACCAACCCTGTATTCTCTAACTTCACTTTAAATACATTTGAGGACTTCCCATTTACGTATTTTAAACAAGAACAGAAATGTAAAATAGCAACTAGCTTTTGTAGCCAAAACAGTGTTTCAGTGTATTGGCATCACCTGCAATTTAGGTGGTCCATGTTGTTCACTGAGTATTTTGTATATCTGTCCGTTCACTTGTTGTGGTTGAGGCTATGTGCGGACATACTCATAGGGTCTTGTAGGCAGACCATGCAGCGTAAAATATGTGAAACCTAACTAAGGTTTGTGTCATGTAGGCTAGCTAGCTATTGATAGATAGAATAGGTAGATGTTGTATAATCTACAAAAATGTGGTTTACAGAATCAGGCAGAAAATTTGATTCTGCCGCAAGGATAAGACTTAAACACATAACACCACTAATAACTGGTATTGTCGGTGTAACACCACTAATAACTGGTATTGTCGGTGTAGTTCAACAATCACACGAACTCACTGTTTCATCTCGACATTGGGCCATTGGAACAATGAACATGACGAGCCAAGAGCGGCCTACGATGGAACAGAGTACGCTTCTGTGTACAGCAAAGTTTGATGATGCTTGGATGCGAAACTGACATTAGCCTACAGACTTGATTAATCTGGTGAAATTGTGGATTGTTGGGCAAAATCACGACGTTTGATAAGTGCTGGATAATATTACTAATACTAATATAGGAAGCGTTTCTTCAATGAAATTTTAGAATTAAAAACCAGGAACGATGAACCTATGATTCTACAAACTGTAGCTCACTAATTCTGCTAAAACATTTATCTAAATGCTTTGAACTTACTGTATAAGGTTTTTACCTTAGAAGGTACAAAAATAAAAATGCCTACAATAGTCTATATTCCGAATATTCTTGATGTGTTTTTTTCTAATTGCATGTACAAATTGGAGCATTCCCAGCTCCTGATGCATTTATTAATCATTTTTACATTGTCGTCTTTAAACAGTAAACTAGCAGTTTTTTTGAGAATTAGATGGACCGGGCGGGTAGGAACTGAAGAGGATTTCTGCACTTGTATTAATACCAGCGATCAATGCAATCATCGTGTTGTCAGCTGACACAATTATGCAGTTTAAATAAATAAAGATTTTATTATTATTATTATTATTATTTGGATACTGAGCCATGAAAGTCGGTCCCAAAAAATATGGCACCCCCCCAGAAATTTTTGGAATGTGCGCCCCTG